TCAAACACAAGAATATCAGTCACAGGTCCCCGATCTCCATAGCCAGAATATAATAATAACCCGGAATAAGAAATAGACATATCATCAATGGTAAATTATCCCAGACATAAAAAAATATGGGTCAAACATACCCTTATTATAAAAATAGTCCAACTAGAAATAAAAATAAATAGTCCATAATAAAAGGAAATACTGATAAAATAACTAAATCCATCATCAAACTAAAGAAAATACTGTAAAAGATTCTAGTGTTCATCAGCTACTACAGAAAAAACACGTCTAGGCTTCAGTTTGTTCTTCCACTCCATCGGAAGGATACTTCAGCTGAGCATACACCGGCTCTGCTGCATCATCGAACTGGACATGTTCGTCCTCTACGTTTGATGCACATAAGAGAAAACAGGTGTACGTCAGTGTGCATGACACACGGTAAGATCCCACATAGAAAATGAAGCGGTCGAACGACCCATGCTATGACGGTAATAACAATAATAGGAAGACAATGGTACATACAACTAGAAATCTTCTAAGTCAAAATGTAATCCTATACTAAACATGATAACATACAGTCATATACATACAGTAACCGAGTAAAATACTAGCCATCCTAAAACTCACTGGTCCATATCTCACACAGAGTCATCGCTCATATCATCGAATAGCTGACTGTTCACAAATCCCCTACGTGCATCTAATACCGCTACACAGATCGGTTAGAGGACTACACGCGATCCGATTTTAGCTTGGTCCGAACTCAAGCAGAACTCGGGCGACTACACAAATTCACTATTAAAGTGACTACACAAATTCACTTTAGCCCAACAAACCAACCCCAGTGACTACACGAATTCACTGGCGCGAGCCTGGAAGATACAAAAACAGTCACATCTGACCACATGAACAAGGACTTTCCCATCTGAACTCTTCTCGTTTTTCTAAATCAACAATCATAATCCCTATTAAACTCGGGTTCACCATCTAAACTCAGTCAACACACTCACACATGTCATTAAGTCTGTTCATGACGCATGAGGTCACTAAGTCATGAACTACTAAGGTTCTCAATCACAACAAGGAGATAGTAATAACACTAATTCTATACAATAATAACATGACATGTCAAACATGATTACACAAGTTTGCAAAGCATGAGTAATCACTACATTAAGATATGGAATGCATGAACAGCCTACCATAGTATGAATGCACACATAAATAAGTTTCATGGATAACTTACTATTGGGTGTCCAAACTTCTCATGTAAGCTAACCGTAATTAAGTAACCTCTAATATAAAAAACGATAAAAAGAAAACTGGAAACCGATGTTATTTTGCACATGAAATGTCGTGCTCTACGACGATCAGTTATACTATCATAAATAATAAATATTTTTTTTTCTAAAATTATTCTTTAAAACTATTTCTCATTATAACTAATTTAACATAATATATTTATGTAATATATATATAATACTCCGTAAATTCTAAAATTAACACATAACTTGTCATTTCATGTTATTATTTTAAAATAATTCTTTTTCCTCAAAATAAATTCTTTTAAAAAATATTATAAATTCTTTAAAATAATTATGTTATCAAAATAAATTATTTTAATTTATTATAACTATTCCAAAAATACTATTTATCACATATCTATGATTTAAATCAATATTATTCACCAAACAACCCACGTAATTAATTATAATATAAACTAATCTACACATATAAATATTGAAACGATAATAAGGAGAGGTGTGATCTTGTCTCGGTACGTCGAACAAGTCGACGTCGGCGGCGCGGGTCGGGTC